CTTGCTTACTTTTCCATAGCAGCCAACTGACTTTTAGTTTGATGATAATGGTACATTTCAGCATTGTAGTCTAACTTGTCATCACCCTAGAAATATTAACAGTTGTCATAAGATCACGTATATTAAATCTTAATGATGTACTAGCGTTGGAAGCTATAATACAAGTCAGAGCAGTGCTTGCATGTAAAGATGGAGGTCATTTTATATTAAATCTTAATGATGTACTTAGCATAAGAAGCTATAATACTAGAACAATGCTTACATGTAAAGATGGAGGTCGTTTTGTGGATCCCTTCATACCGTACCCTGTATATTCTGATTCACTTACAGCTTTAGCTGTAGTATGAAGTCTGTAATTACAAATACAAATAAATACAAATAAATACATGAATGAACAAATGGACAGATGAGCAAACAAATGATGAACTGATGCGAATAAATGAATAAATAATATACTGGTTAACTGGGGTCTAAAAAACATTGTGCACTGAACATTGAAATATTTTAGGACTGAAATGGRTTGTTGTTGTTGGATTCAACAAAAATATTGTTACAAAATGACAATTCCAAACTAAATTGCTTTCATCAGGTACAGAACGTACAGAGCTTGCAGGCRTACTTGCTCTTAAAACAGTGAAAACCCTTTTTTTAAGGATCAACAATTTTGTATAGGACTACACTATCTTCAGAATGTTTAATGATTTTAAATGTCTTGAATTAATTAAAGGTATTGGTATTTTGCAAGTTGAAATGTTCTCTTGAAATGCACAGAAAGAACATCAGTCAATTCTCAATAACACAGAATTGCAGACTTGCATGAGGCAGGATTATTTGCAATCAAAAACCCTACCAATATATTCAAAGAATACATCATTTCAATCAAATTAATACAGGTATACTTACTTATACCAGCAGTAGCCAGCCAATCCAAGACCTGCAATACCAGCCACGCTGCACCCAATRACTATAACTGGAATTACATGAAACATTGATTACTAACTGACTTGTATAGCTTTGCTGAGTTATTTCAATTAGCTGACAATACTAGTATTATACTGCTGTGGGTTTCTAATATAATTTAGTTTTTTAAGTAAGGTGTTAATAAAGAAATTGCCATTGTTATTGAGCACTAGAAGTCTGAACCAATGAAAATGGACACTTGAAAATGTGTTTACCACATCACCTGGCATCACGTATAGTTGCTATAGTAACTGAAGTATTTGGTGAAGTATGTTGTCCTTAAGGTACATAATTCATGTCAAAGTCAATACTAGGGTTAATAATAAACATTTGATTTTTGAAAAAATGTTTAAGTTTATATGAATGCTGTTGTTGTTGTTGCTGTTGTTGTTGATGTATAAATTGAGCAGTATTTCCTGACTTTTATTGTTTGGCTCACTATACTTGGATAATTTGACAAATCTTACTATTTCTTTATTGAAAACAGAATTATTAAAAAGCATTAGACAAAAATCAATATCATATAGAACTAAATATGACAAAGATGCTTATCAAAGTCTTATTTTGACCTAATTTGCTCTCAGATTTGGTGCTTGAATGACAATGAATAGTAAACATCCCACCAAATCATTTTTAATATAAAATTCTTTTTTCATAAGGGTTCAATTCTCAATATTTCGATGTTATCTGATTTGTTTACATGAGGTAATTATTTTTCAAATTATTTCATCTTGGTGAAACAAGATTTACTCTAGATAAACTTATAATGGTATAAAGCAAGAGCACATCATAATAACATGCTATCTAGATACATTTCTAGATTATTGTAAAATATACAATTTTTCTGAGTCTGATATTCAAAATGTTATGAATATTCACACATGATAATTAATTGTTGTTTTTTATGTTTGTCATAAAAACATGGAAAGTCATTGTCATGATGGCTTTCAATCTTTTCAATTCAATGCGATGCTAGCAGCTGATGATAACAAATAATTATCACTGTTTTTTGATTAGGAAAAGCGGTGTTATATAACATAAATATCAAGTGATACTTTAAAGCATAAACAACTAGTGAATCATGAGAGAATCTTCAAATGTACGAGTGACATTTATCTCGCATACAGAACAAGTTATCATTTGTTTATGTTACAATACAATTTGACCATTTTAATTATTTTCTCTTCATGGTAACAGCTATTATAATAATAAATTTAAGTACTACTATTAAAACTAAGTACTAGTTCCCTCAGCCAATCAAATTGCAGAACTTCATCAAAACATTGGGTATAATATAATGTTAATATTAATAGCAATATATAATGCCACACACATGATGTCTCAATATCTTTTTAGTGGACATATTATAAAGCAGATTATATTGAAAATTATTGATAAAAATACAATCACTTCTTAAATCAGAATAAAAATTTGTTCACCTTTGTGAGTTGATCACTTCAATAAATTTGCTAAATTTTGCTTTATTTTGTTAATAAAACTATATCATTTAAAGAAATCACAAAATTCTGATAGTAAGGACAGCTGGAAATTTGAATTTTTAGTTGGGTGGATTATAAGATTGCATACTATTTTTATTTTTTCAATGAGCAAAAATAACGACTAAATCTTAATTAGAAATTGTATTTCCTTCCTCTGTTATTTTTCTCTTTTTGTCAACATCATAATTGACCAAGATAACATTTTGTGGGATGTTTTCAATTCATTGAGTGAAATCTGCATGTCTTGCTGAGAATTCACACAGATTTTTGAGTGTATTTCTTACAAAATACAAAAGGATTAAACCCACATATTAAAAAGACAAAAACATGACAGTAAATGATAAAATAGGCGCTAAAATATATACATTATAGAGTGGCTTTGAGCAGACACAGAAATTAAATTCCCCAAACCTGATTTTCTAAATAAGACTAAAAACACTTCATAAATCTCATGTTTGATGTATTGAGTTATTAGATGTCTGTTCTGTAAATGAAAGTCTATATACTGATAAATAAAGGCTTTTTCACAAGTATAAAATATATATAATATAAACATCAGAAATTGAAATTAAATTATTTTTCAGATTTGGATTTAAAACAGATCAAAAGATTTGTCCAGGGAAAAGAAAGACAAACATGTAGGTTTTAAAATATTCTTGACACGAGAAGAAAAATAATATTCATATTGAATTATAGTGGTCAGAAAATGTCATATGTTATGTGCATAACAATGCACAACATTTGAATACAAGAGTAGTATCTCAAGATATTTTAAGAGTTTTAAATTCTATTGGTTAGAAAAACTCCATTATATTGGTTGATGTGGTATTTTGTGGGGTTAAAGAWGATGGATAGRAATTCCCTATCTGATTTTCATCACACCCCGACACCCACACATATCTTTAGCACTAACAGTGTAGGCATTTCAAAGCACAGGAAAGATCCATCAAACATTCAGATTGACTGAAAAATGGGAAATGGAATTAAAAAATGGGAATTAAAAAAGTAACTTCAGCAAACAAAAGATGCATGAAATATTCAAATGGAAACTTGAAAAAGAAGTGAAATGGAAATCAAATGGAAATAGAAAATGTTTTCTAGTATAATAAGCTAAGACAGCTCAATCACTATTTTTTGACTATGATAGATATTTCATACTTACAAAAAGTTCATATTTTCAAATGAAATACTGTCACAGAAGATGAAAAATGGGAAAAACATTTTTGTCTGAATTATATGCAGTAGTCATAAAGATTTGTTTTCATGTAAAATCAAAATGAAACTTCATGGCATATTTGCTCTTTTTGTACTAGTATATAATATCTATGAGATCTTTTTCAAAAATAATTAAATGGAAAATGAAAAAATGGGAAATGCTTTTTTCATAAAATATGCTGGCTAAATGTATATTTCTTTCCGTAAAAACAAAGTTAAAAGAATCATATATATGCAGTAAATTAAAGTTACGAAATCAAGAGGCATAAATCAAAGAAAAACTAATACTAGTACCACAACAAATTACATACACAATTTTTCGTTCGTTATAGTAAAAGAGAATTATACTTACACAGAAAATAAATGTCGTCCATTTCCGAGGCTTTTGGTTCTTCCCCTTTTCCAATTTTATGCTTTCTTATGAACGGAGGTGGATTAGAGCTGGAATTCCCTTCCAAATTCACTCCGTCCTCTGAGGACATAACTTTGTCGCTGCTGTCTTTCTTCGAGAGAAATTTGTTCAACTTTTCTTCATCCATTTCCTTATKCTTTTTCTGTAAATTTTTGTCTTGCTTTTTCAATAGAAGTTTTCGTTTCCGATTGGCGTCCTCTTTATTTTTTAATTCTTTGGATTTGGATTTAAAATCATTTGAAGACTGGATTTTTTTCGCTCCATTTTKCTTCGAGTCGTGTTCTGTTCCATGTTCTGACGATTCGGCGTCTTTCGCCGCTACTTTTCCTWCTAAATCATAGTTTTTATTGTGTAAATTATTTGAATTTTCCTCYRCTGCAGTTGCTGGCGCAGAAGGAGTTGTAAAATCAATCGAATCAGGGGAAGAATCTGGCGAGTTGWGTTGTTTTTCTGTTTGTTTTTCAGTCGACGGAGCCTGTGTTGCGTCGAATAAAACGTTTAAATCGCTCCCATCGGTTCCTTCTAACTCGGTCTCCCAAGWGTCATCGTCGTTGGGACTCGATTCAATGGCTGAAACAAGAATAATTCAATCAAAAATACACTCCAATGATTTATATTTGACTACCAAGACGGGGCAAAGACCAACATTATACTCAAGTTGTTTTGATAAAACCCCCCATCTAGTGGTCAGTCGGAGCACTTTCGCAACCGCGAGGAGATTAAACTGCATATTACTGGAGATACAGCCCTTCCGAAACGAAATTGCAGGCTTTTAAATAAGGCGAAAATAATTCTTATAGAATTTAACACAATAAGAACAATATTTCGTATCGTCTAATTAGAATTTTTGCGTTTTCGAGCTAGCGAAGCGAGACTTTTCGTGGCGTCCTGATTACAACAGAATTTACCAACAAAAAATAGAAAAATATAACGAAAAAACATATATTTCGCTGTTCTTCCTGTCAATGCCGATGTTTAGCGTATTTTTGTAGTGAAAAGAGAGTAATGTTGCCAAGATTAAGGGGTTGACCCAACGTAGCTTTAAAATTAATTCAAAATTTCAAAATATTTCGGGTCACTCGAGCAAGACGCGGAAAATAATATCCATACTTCAGCTCAACTTTTCGCATTACTACACATATTTCAAGTTAAATAAACTTTTCTTTCTATCATTCTTAAAACAAGGAATAAAATTCTTCAGCAGAATAAGAATATCGATAAATTATGAAACAGTAAACACCACTGCTTTCTCTTGGTCGAGCAAAGCTCGCTATCTCTTGATCAAATTTGCTTTTCACTTCACTGCCAAAATTTGCGCTTACTACGAATAAAATATCAAAATTATCAAGTAGAACTTACGTAGGCATGCTCCCTCAACTTCAAAAAATCCTTGGAGGCAACTGCCACATTGAATTGAACCCAAACTACACGATTCTCGGTTAGCCAGGGTACATGTTTCTTCAGGACAAGCAGAACCTGTAGGAAAAGTTGTGACAATTTAAGCCGTGAAAAAAACCCGCAAATAAACACATTCTGTCACAAGAACGATTTCTAAACTTACCTAAAGCACGGCACCATCCACTACTACGAAGAAAAGAGAGAAGGAAAAAGAAAAACGTGTACTTCATCACCGTACTTTCAACCCCATGACCATCTTCTAATCATTTTTTCGCGAGGACCTTCGCGGGCGAACGCATCGAGTTTTTATACAGCGCAATGCATCTTGGGACATATTCGCCTTATTTGGGCATAACATCGCAAAATCAGAGCTTGATTTAGATTTTGCGGCGATGAAAAGTAGCAAAATATTGGGATATTTAATCCATTTTGTATTTATCGTCTATTGGGAAGGTCTTTATTGACTGACGACTTAAGAAAACATGGAAATGTGGAGAATTAGGGCACCTTGCGGACCTTTACGAATTGTTCGGGRGAAATAAACCCTACTGTGATATTTCAGAACTGTACTCGGTACTCCCGAGAGACTTTYCCTTTTAGTGATAATTTCTACACCGTTGCTATCGTTATTGCTTTATTTTTTCAATGAATAAAACTATTCCGAAAAACAAAAGAGGTTTAGTACATCTGGATTTTCTCTTGCGTCGCCYTCCACAAAACCTGAAAAGAAAAGATTTATGAGTTCAACATAAATGTTTAATCCAAGCCCAACTCAAGTRGAATTTAACGGTTGTATTTCGGCTCATATTCCATTAAAACGACTGAAAAACAAAACACTTTTTCTCTCGGTTTGAAATCGTGACGTCAAGACGACCGAATGAACKATTCCGAGTCAACCAAAAAAACCTTATTTCGTGGCCCCAATTTCCATGTTTTTGACCAAATAACCCACATTAATTAGAATAAGAAAAAAACTCGCTTGATTTCATTAGRAATTCAGAGTGACTTGATAACGAAATGAAAATATAAAGGCAAATATAAAAGAAATGTTCGCACTAATTATTGAGAAATGACAAGGAAGGAACTACTGATGATGTATTAGTTGTCATGACAACTATAAGCCTTTTGTTTTATTCAAAATTACGTGCGTCCTCCTCTCACTAAATAGAAAAGAGATTCAAAAAGATTATTTATCATATTTCAAACGGGATTTTTATGCTCATAATGTAATTTGTATGTGTTTGAAATTATCGCTCACTTTTTACACATTTTATATGTAAAGCCAATACAGAATGGTTCCTCTATTTCTAGACAAGGTCCAATACAAGCCCACAAATATGTGAAAATTACTGACCTCTCACTTTCTATATTTATCAGTTCAAGTGTTTACCAAAACGTTTTCATATTGAATTAATAATCATCAATGAATAGTTCAGTTTATATAGTTTAATATTTTCACTGTATTAATTTCTATATTGAGCGATATACTCCCGCCTAAATGTCATTTTGTCAGTGGCTCTTTGCAGTTGCAGTTCTTCCATATCTGATCTATTTCGCTAAAATATGATAACATTAGGCTTTAAAGACTAATGGAACGGCGAGAATACACTTTGCATTCAACACTTTGGCGTGAAAGAATTTGACACATTGTTGAAATGTGAAATGTGAAACGGTTTTGCACAAACATGGTCACAGGAAACGAGTAGCAGGACGTAGTAGTGAGGACGCAGACAGTCTTGATCCTTTATTGATTGACCTATTGAAAGGATTCCTTAATTTATTATCTGAATTTATATCGGCAGATCATGACAATGTCGATAGATACTTTGACGGGATTGCAGCTCCATCAAAATTAATTCTTGCTCTCTACTACTGCTTAGAGAACGAACAAGGAACTGGCCATATTTTCGGTTTCCGGAGCCGGAGCCCTCCTTCATGACGTCACGAGCGATGTCTATAATCATAGAACCCTGAATAAAGTTAGCATATTATCAAATGGGCATTGCAGGATATTATAACTAGCTATTATTATTATTGATGTTGAAGTGCTGTGTTTGTGCAGCAAGCAGTCGCCGTCCACAAGATTCCTGGCCACTATTCACGTAGTCTAAGACGTTGTTTATCCATTTTTGACATATTGATCAAACCATTGATTGCCTCACCACACCCTACTTTACTGCGTAAAGCATAATTACCAAGCCCTTCCCCTCCCTCCCTCCCTCCGCACTCCACTATAATTATGGTTGCAGTGATATTTGTATAGATTCGCCAATATTGACATTTTTAGTTTGTTCAATGATGAAATGCGTTTATCAAATGTATAGATTTCCTTCGCGAGCGCAATCCGAATCATTTTCTTTCTAAATGAACACATCCGCCCACATAGTGTAGTCAATCAGCCTTTTCAATGTCGGCRAGCCGTCAGTTTATCAGGACAGGTGAMAATGTGAGAGAATAGAAGTGGAACTGGAAGAAAAATAAAGGGAAAAATATATTTTTCAAGAAAGGTTTTAAGTATTAATAGAAAGGGTCAAATCTGAGGAGGGAGTTTCTCAATCAAGCGGACTAAAAAATATCAAATATTTATAGTATTAATTAGATAGGAAAGCCAGGATTGCCAAAGAATTGATATCGGACAGCAAATCAAACGTATCAAGACATTGAAGTTCTCATAATAGTTGAATGCACATCAGTTACTTTCAGTGAATAGTCTCCATGTCCCAATTTGCATATTTGAAAGTCCTTCAATTCAAAATTTATTTGATCTTTTCTTAAAAAGTGTCTTCACTCAGATAGGAAGTTGTTATCAACACAACATCTGTTTTTTCACAAATAGGAATCGTTAGGAATCCTATCAAAATATACTTTCATCTTTGCTGACAATCTAGCCGAGTGCCGCCCACATATAGTTAGCTAAATTTAAACCAAGTTCTGATAAATTTAACACAATTATCAAAGTAGGTAATTTCGCTTTGTCTTGGTTTAATTTACAAACAAAATTAACTAGCTTTTCGTTCAAAACTTGTCCGGAAGGTCATTAAGTGAATGGGCACTGCGAGGACATTTTCTACAGCAAAGCATGATGGGAGATGTAGTCTTCGCAGTTTGTGTGTCCAACCAAACAGTCCCCAAAGCTGTTTTTTTATTTTACATAAATGGAAGCAGTGCTAGTTACCTCAAGCAAAAATAAGGGGTTGAGGGTGGAGGTGCAAATTTTGAGCTCCTGTAATAGACTTTTTTTTTCTTTTTCTTTTTCAAGATATTCCCTATGTTTTTATTGATGCCGATGCTTACCAATGTTCTATTTATTTGTTCTCTTAATTCATCGAGGTAATCTAATCATTTGATAGTAGGCTCGCCCACTGACTCTCTTCACGGCGTGGGAAGTCAGCGGCAGGGTATTCTGTGGAGGAGGGTATTCTGTGGAGGAGGGTATTGATGACATATATTGGTTACTCAGAAAAATAAGTTAACTAATGAACCTTTTCTAAATAATAACTCTCCTACCGCATAAACTTCATACTGTTTAAACGTGGGATTGACATAGAAAATAAACCACAGGCTCATGTTATGAAACAGCTGAATTGCCCTTATTTTAAATTTACCAATATATACAATTAAAGTTGTCGTAGCATTATACGAAAACTTATTACAAACAAACAACGACAAATAATACATCATGTGTTGAACTGAACCAACTCCACACCTTTACATGAGTAATCTTCACAGTTTACTTTTCTCATTATTGCACAATTCATTATGGCGTTACATAACTAAGCTGAATACAGAACGGCATTTCTTCTCTATATTCATTAATCTAATTACTTATTGATGAAAAGCTTCTCAGCAGCCATTTATTGCGGACTCTCCYCATGGYAAAGGAAGCCCAGTAGGTTGCTTGCYGAGGAGGTTTTATTAAAKRMAMWTATTGGGTGCGTSAATTAATTAATAAACTTTCCCTAYATAAWTCGCCTACCGCGCATCRACTCCATACTGTTCAAACGAAAAATTGTTATAAGAAATAAACAGAAGATTCATGCTATGAACAAATCAATATATACATATAATATGGCGTGGTGCAGACTTAACAATGCCAAGTTCCCATCTTGGCCCTAAACCTTCCTAATCAGTACTACTGCAAGGCTCAAGCAAATTGCGGTCCACGTCGTCAATCACGAGTACATCACGTGACTTCATACACGCATGCGCAATATAGGGCAACCCTTTGATAATAAGGCGAACGATCTGAGATAAAATGGCAGCTAGAANTATTATAGCTCAATAACTCACCGGTGCAAGTCCAGGACACTCGTACACTGTATAGTCACCTTCATCTCCTTCGTCACTATTCTCATCATCTTCCATTGAGCCTTGTTTAGAGGACTTGGAACCAGCTCTGACAAAGGAATCATAACTAGAATTAGTTGGGTATATTTCCTAGAGTCATCACACTTGCACCGTGAAACAAAATCAAAGAAGTAGTAACTATTAGTTTTTATTTACTGACTATTTGTATCTAACAGTAGATATCACTGAACCAAAACAATTCTTAAAAACAAAAGGTAATACACAAGAGACTTGGAAGCCAAACAACGTTATTAAAAGCTCAGTACCTAATGAAGAAGGAGGAATTTGTTAAAAAATGTCCCACCCACAAGGAAAGAAATAAAGAGCTAATTTTGTTCTTTGTTAAACCCAGAGGAAAGATGTCGGGAAGGGCTAGAGCTTGTGTTAAATATAGTCTTCATCGGCATCCTTCATGGAACTCGAGTTTATTGAAAGGCCATAAAAAGAATTGCCCTATATTGTTGATTATAGGGTGAAAGTGAAATAGATAGCTAAAGTAACTAACTTTATAACTGTTATGAGTGCTGCTGGAAATTATGATTTGGTAACTAATGCCCCATGCTCAAAAGGTACGTATCTCACAAACACATTTCCGAAATGATTAATAAAATTTCTTGTGTTTTATTTTGAGCTTCAAGCAAAGGATAAATTTAAAACGTTGCCGCTGGTTGTTGTCAAGTCGCTTTTTTATATTGACTAGTCAAATAACTCAGCTTTGAGCGATAGAATTCGTTCAAAACCACGTTGTTTATATATTTTTGCGGGTCATTTCAGTGCGTCTTGTCTTGATTTTTAGTTCAGGCTCTTATAATAAACTCGTTAGAAAACACGTTCATTTGCGTAGGGGTTTGATATTACAGTTTTTTCAATTTAGCCTTAAAATGTCTTCTGTCATAATTTTGCTACAGCGCAGAGAATAAAGATTCCAAACGCGTTTCATTTAGTCT